GGAACCGGTCCCAGTTCACTCTTCTGGCTATCCTCTTCTCCACGTTTGGTGCTCCCTCTCCTATTTCCAGGAATATGGGGTTGTGGTCAGAGCTTCCTTCTTGCAGAACACCAATGTTGCAAGACACGTCTACCTTTTTCAAGATAGCAATGTCTATTACATCAGGCCTTGTACCGTTGTCTGGGTACAGCGTGGGTTCGTCAGGTCCTAGTATGGAGTACTCCGGTTCATCCATCAGCCTCGCAAGGATTTCGCCATGTCTGTTGTTCGTGCGCGAGCCCCAGATCCTAGATTTGGCGTTCAGATCTCCTATGATGACAATGCTCTCGCCCATTCCGCTGATTTGCGTGATGTCGTCCATATGCAGAGTCACCGTTGGTGGTATATATACCGAGATGATGTTCAGCGTGCCGTAGTCCTCCGTGTACACGGCTATTCCTACTGCTTCTGTAGTCCTCAGATCGGGGATTCCTAGCAGGTCGTGGCTGATGCTGCTCCTTACGGAGATCAGCACGCCTCCGCCTCTCTGGTCTCGGTCCTTCCTGTACGTCGTGTACCCTGGGAAGGTCCAGTTTGGAACTCTGCTTGAGAGCATTGTCTCTTGTAACGCCATCACATCGTAGTCCCTCGAGTTAGCAGTTCTCCTATCTCGTACTTCTTGTTGGAAGCACTATGTACGTTCCAACTCAATATCCGTAGGGTCCTAGATGTTGGCAGGCTGCCCATTTAGTTGGCGTTTCTTCTGTTCTTGCTTGTCATGAATGCCTCCTTGGCTTCGGGGGTATTCATGATGAGCCTCTTCATTTGGGCCATGTGGGTTTCCATGAACCTCTTCAGTTCATCCCCGTCTTCTTCTTCCCGGTTTGTGGAGGGTCTTTCCTGCCTTCGGGGGCCGTCTCGTTGCTTCTTGCAGCCCTTGCGTAGCTCTGTCCTGGTCTTACTGGGGCTGGCTTCGTGATCTTCTTCTTCTCCTCCGCGGCGGGTTTGCTCTTTGGTTTTGAGCTCGGGCGTCTTGGGCATCCCCCGTAGTTCGCTGGGTGGCTCCCACCACAGTTGGCGCAGGTTGCCGCTCTTTCTTGTGGCACTTTGCACTCCGATGCGCGATGTGCCCCTGCACATCTCACGCACTTCGGTGCCCCGGAGCAGTTCTGCTGGCTGTGCCCGAACTGCTGGCACCTGTAGCACTGGCCCGGTCCTTCTCTCTTCTTCTGTGCCTCGATTTTACTATCATCTGACAGCATTCTGTCAGATCGTAAATCCTCTTTTCTTCCTTTGGAAGATCCACCTTGACCAGCGGGATCTTCTTCCTGGTTCGCCTGCTGGTGAGTCTGTTTACTCTTCTTGGGTGGAATCCTTTAGATTCCAGGTCCTCTTTAACTTCGTCTTCCCCCGTCATCAGTGGCATGCCCCTGATGATAACTGACAGGGATTTCTCGTCTGGCAGGGAGTAGGTGTGGTGTTCCACCTTGTTCTCCTCGAGCGTCTTCCTTACGCTTCGGAATTCATCCTCAGTCGTCAGTTGGACCTTTATGCCCGTCCTGTGAGTTTTGCCGGCTTGTCGGCTGGGATCTTCTTTCCCTTCTTCATGGTTTGCCACTGGTCTTCCCTATGTATAATAGGGGTGGCGGCCTTCTTGTTTTAGGTTGGGAGCTGGCTGGGCCTGCTCGGTATCCATCCTATCTTCGGTGGTTGACGGGGGGGGTGGGGTGGTCTTCTCCTCCACTGTCTTCTTCTTCGGGAGCGGGGGGAAGGGGTCCACTGCCGCTTTCTTGGAGGCTGGTTTCTCGTCAACCTCCTCGGTCTTATCGGCCTTCCTCTTAGTCTTCTTTTTGGGATCGTCTATCTCAATCCCTTGTCTTGCGGCCATGAGCTCGATGAGCTTGGCCGTCTTCTCGCGCTCTTCGGCGCTTATCCTTCTCTCCTCCAGTAGCTGACGTGTCAGGTCTAGCTGGCAGGATAGTTCCGCTATCTGCCTCTTGAGCTCGCGGTTTTCCTCTTCCATCCTGTTTGGTCGAGGTTCCTCTTCCTGGACCTCTTCCTCCTCTTCGCTGGACGAGGAATACGTGTTTTCGTCGTCCAGCATCTTGGTCACCTTATCTATGGTGTCGCGCTCGATCACCACCATCGACTCTTCCGAGTTCGATTCACTTCACTGCACTTTTACACAATTTCCAGTTGTGACCGCACTCTGGAAATTGTGTATCACTCTCGCACTGGTGCCTTCTCGGCTCACTTCTGCACGATTCTCAGTCGCCGCACTCTGAGAAACGTGTACCACTCGCGCACTGGTGCCTTCTCGGCTCACTGCACTCCGGCTGTGGCTTCGTCGGCCCACTTTCACACAATTCTCAGTTGTCGCCGCACTCTGAGAATTGTGTACCACTCACTCACTAGTGTCTTTGCACTTCACTACACTTCACTGTGGGTTTGTCGGCCCACTTTGGTGCGTCTGTTTTCGCTAAGTCGCGCTTTTACACAATTCCCAACGAGATGGGAATTGTGTAATGTTTCTTCGTCCACCCGATTTAGGCTTTGCCTTATCGAGTGGGTGTCTCACTCGCGTTTCCGCGTTTTTCTCGCGTTTCCGCGCGTTGGTCGCGTCGCGATCGCGTCGCTGTCGCGTCGTCGCTGATCGGTCGCTTTGTCGCGTCGTCGCTTCGGTGTCGCCTTGTCGCTTGCGGTCTCACTGGTCACGTCTGCTATCCTCGGTGGTTGGCTG